GACCTCTTGCCATGTTGGGAAATATGTTCGGAATTTTTGTTGTGTTCTGGAAATGAGAGAAGCAAGGGCATGGGCGGGGGGGGCGGGGGGGGGGGGGGGGGAAAGGCAGCCACAGAAGACAGGGAGAGCTACTGTTTCACACCCAAAGAACAACTGTTGAATATTCGTTCTGCAACCTCCTGCAGCCAAACCCCCGATAAAGCAGAAAGATCTGTAGGTGTCCCCTGAAGGGCGGAATCCTGCGGCGCTGGGGGCCCGTGCTTAAGGAGCCTCCTGAGCACTGGGCGCCGGGAGCGGGGCCAGGACGTGCCCACGAAGGGAAAGGAAGGGAAGGCAGTGCCCGCGGGGCGGGGCAGGGGCCGCGGGGGAAGCCGGTGCTGAGGGCAGGAACGCCGGGGGGCGGGCAGGAGAGCAGGCAGGGATTTTCGTCCCGGAAAGGGGCAGGGATTCCTCCCGGCTGGGCAGGCGCCAGGGCGCTGCCGAGGGCGGCGGCTTTCCCGGAGCGGTGCGGGGGCGGCGGTGGCGGTGCCCGGTGCCGGACCCGCGCCTCCCTCCCTCCTTCCTTCCCTCTCTCCCTCCCTCCTCCCCTCTCTCCCTCCGTCCCTCCCTCGCCCCGTCCCCCCGCGCGTGCCGCCCGCCCGCCGGGTGCCCCGGGGCATGAGCTGCGCCTCCGGGAGCGTCGTGCTCCCTGCCGAAGAGCCGCCGCAAGCCGCCGCCGCCCCGCTGGAGCTGCCGGCCGGGGCGGGGGAGGCGAGCGGGGACACCCCCGAGGAGGGCGAGGGCCGGAGGGGCGGCTCGGAGAGCGGGGCCGCCGGCGGCGACAAGCCCGAGACGCGCTCGGTGTGCAGCAGCAGCGAGAGCGGCAGCGGCGGGCACGCCGGCGGGGCCGGCCCCATCTGCAAGATCTGCTTCCAGGGCCCCGAGCAGGTGAGCAGCGGCGCCGGGGCGGGCGGCCGGAGCTCCGCACGCCTTCGCGCCCTCGGCTCCGGGGTCGAGCCCTGTCCCTGGTGCTGATCTCGGCGTCGCTCCCCGGCAGGAATCGCCCTCCCCGGCTGCCGCTGTGCGCGCTGGTTGTGGCAAAAGCCTGGGGCGAACCTGAGCCGGCGCAAAGCTTTGGGAGAATTCAGGATTTTGCCGTGTCTGGCTTGCACGCTGGGTGTCCTCTGGCGCTCGCACTCCCTGGTTCACCTCTGAGGGACTCTACACAGTACGAATTTCTCAGGTTCCTGTTGGACTTTGAAATGAGAGTGTTAGCTTACAGGTAATGCTGAGAAGACCTCCAAGTATCATCTCTGTCGTGACGTTACGGGGCATAATATCAGCAATGGATGTGTAACTAGCGTTTTATAGCTTGTCTTGGAGTTGGAAAGAAGAGAATAACTGATTTATATAATACAGAAACTACTGGGGGAAGTGCTTACTTACATTTTTTAAGGTCCTGGCTGACAGCTGGCTAGCTGGACAGCACAGAGCCATGCTCCAAGAGCAAGGTTCTCTTGGAATCGTGACATCACACATTTCTTTCTGAGTGATGACTTCAAATAGCTGTTGTAGAAATGTATCCAACCACTTCTGGTACCTTTTGAGATATTTGAAATGGCTGATGGTACTGTTCTTTTATGCATGGTAATATTTCAGTTGTTTCACATAGGTACGTGAACATGTGTAGACAGCTTTCTGGCTTTTCTCAGTAGAAACAACTGGGTATTTTTAAGACAGTTATATTTTTGAGTATTTCATAACCAAAAATACATGTTTTTCCAGATAGTGAAATTGAGACCATGGCATTGTTACAGACCCCTAAATATTTTGGTATTGAATGTACATGTACATGAAGGGTTCCTTTAAAGTTGATGTTTCTGTATTGCCTTTCCAGGGTGAATTGTTAAACCCTTGCCGCTGCGATGGCTCGGTACGATATACGCATCAGCTTTGCCTCTTAAAGTGGATAAGTGAAAGAGGGTCATGGACCTGTGAACTCTGCTGTTACAGATACCATGTTATAGCCATTAAAATGAAAAAGCCTTGTCAGGTAATTTATTCTTTTAAAAAAAGTATGTCTTTTCAGTCTTTTTTTTTAAACATAATTATTCTTACTTTTACTTCCAAGGTTTTTGGAAAATACAGCAGAAGATCCTATATGCCTCACCAGCTAGGACTTGCACCTACTTGAAGTTGGTTTTTAAGACCAGTTACATACTAAAATGTGTACTGATTTGGTTGTGTTATGTTCTTCTAGTTTTTGGTTTGCTGTAGAAATGGTCTTTAGAGGTTGGTAAATTCTGTAAGTAGTTAAATCATGCTGAGATGTGACAGAAAACTTGGATCTCCCAGATTGACTTCCTAAATTTTAAGCATGTCTTTATTTTTTGTTCAAGACTCAGTCAAAGGTTGATTTTTTTCTTTCTTCAACTTGAGGTCCAGAGGGGAGAAGGGAAGAATGCTTCTGTTGTCTGTCATCTACTGTAAAAATATAAAAGGAGGTGAATTATCAGTCTTGGCACAATTCAGAGCAGTAGACCACTCTGAAAGTTCTGTCCACCAGTAGCTGTTTCAGGAGCTGAAATGTGCAGTAACATTTTCCACATCTCTGTTTCAGTAGCCTCAAAACATGAGATGGGAGTTAGAGAATTGTAGTGGTAGCATGTTCAGGGAGACGTGGGGGGAGAAACCTAAAGCTCCACCAGATCTCTTAGGGAAGCCTTAATACCACTTTGCATATCAGAATTCTTTAGAGGCTTTAAATTCCGTCTTGGAAATGATGCTTTATAACATCTGAGGAACACATTTAGTAAGATAATTGTATCTTTTTTTAGTTTTGATCCTAAGAGCTCAAAGATGATGGAGCTCTCAAAGGCCAGAGCACTCGGGTCATTTTTCCGTGCCTGTGTTTGATTGGAGTTTTATAGAAAAGACATGGTTGGATGGTAATGGTAGGTGTGTGAAGGTGAGAAGCATTCCTTGGATACAGAATATCTCGAGTATTTGCTTACAGCTGTTCAGATTATGGGCAAGTACTTTCAGACCCAGTAGACTTCAATTTTTTTTCCTTCATAAATTCTCAAAGGAAAGGTTTTGGTAAACTTTCCTGGATGGAATCATTATGATGTAAAAAAGTAAAGGATTTGTAAAACAATCCAAAAAATGAAGGTGCTTCTGTTTCCACACAGACATTGTTTGGCATGGGGTTTAATCCTTTTGGCTTTTTCTACCCTTTGAAAAAGTCTTTCTTTTTTTGCATATCCAAAGCAATCTCATCCTTTTCCTAGCAAAGCTAACAATAGCAATACTTTGCAATTATACTATCTGAAAATTGACAGCAAAGATACGACACAGTTGCCTGCAGCGAGGCATCTAGTACTGTTTGAGACGTCCTAATGTAGCCAAAATGTGTACACAGAATAGCAGATATGACAGAACTTATGAGGGACTCTGGAACGGCAGATGGAGGCCAAGTGGATATTAAAGGACATCTGAAAAGTCATTAGACATCTATCTGTGGACAGCAGAATCAAGCTCAAGTTTGAAGAACAGCTTTTCGGTTTCTGTGGAAGCAGAATAGAGTCAGTAGATGACACAGTAAGCAACAAAGTTTGGCCAAGCTTACAAGGGAAGTAGAAAGAAACTGAAGAGACAAAGGTTAAATGCCACTCATTGCGTTAGTTGTCGCCTTTTCTTTCCTTTTTTTTTTTGGTAGAGTTGGGGGTGGGGGGGGAGTGAAAGGAACCAGATTCATATTTCTCATTCAATAGCTTAATACTTAATTTATTCTTAACCATGTTTTTAATTTTTTAGGTAAGTCATTTAAGTCTGTCCTTTCTTTCTTGACAAAATAGCATATAGAAAGATTTCATGGAATTGCAACTCAAATAATAAGTTGGACATATAATCCTGAGGTCAAATTCCTGGCACCCAAAAGATCACCCATCTCTTTGAGGGAACACAGTAGTACCTTTCTCAGTTTCCTATCCAGAATATTCCTCTTGTAGTAACAGAATCTTAAAGGAAGTCTCAAACTGGAGTCATCTGTGTAATTTTATAAGGGGAATCAGTCTTAAAATGCACTTACTCACTCCCCCATACTCTTGACTATAATAATATTGGCTGCTTTTAGCAACTGACATGGCTTAAACTTTTGGTTCTGAGTAGTTTTCTACATTACACAAAAGCTTGTTTTAAGGTAACTTTTTGGTTAGTTTTGGCAAAAAGCTGAGTGAGACCATTTCAGTACAGAAGGAATTTGAAACATCATCAGCTGCAGTAGTGAATGTACTTAGAAGTTCCCAAAAAAGCAGGACTTCTTGCATTACTTTAGATACAGTATTTGGACAGGGGTAGTTTAGTCTCTCAACAACCAGTAGTCTGCCTCAGTACATCTTCCCAGAATTGTCTCTACCAGTCTCTTACTTACTAGAATTTTGTAGAGTGTCATAGGAGAGAAAACTGGTGCTATTAAAAAAAATAGCTTTTTCTCAGGTGAATGCAGATTTGTACCAGGTCTGTACAAACCTGGCCTATTTACTCTCAGGTCTGTGCAGATTTACTACAGCTCTTCAGGTTTGCTTTCACCTCATGTATTTAAGGAACTTTACAACGTGTAGAGACTTAAGAAAGAAGAGATTTTTCTACCTTGTCATTCAGGATGTTGGAATAGATGTGAATATTCCATTTAATAGCTAACATGTTCTGTGGTTTCCATTGCTTCATGGAAGGCAAATTTATCTCCAAGGGGTGTGTCTCCTGGGGCAGTGCATTCAAGAAACAGAATATTTCTATTTTGATAGAAATTCTTGCAGTCTCAGTGTTCCAGTTCCAGATTCAGCAACTACTACATAATTTACTTTTAAGAATCTAATCCTGGAAACACATAGGTTTTATATAGAAATAAACCTTAAAACATGAACAAAATCCCAAATTAACCCATGGGCTAGCAGTGGAAGATGAGCCCACAAACAGGTTGATGACATTTGGTATGATGTATAACAGAGATTTGGAATTTTTCAGTATCCTTCTTAGGATCATATCAGAAAGACATATTTAACTTTGCACTAGTCCATTAATGAAAATACACATTCATGTTGCTGGACTTGCTCCATTGGCAGGGTGGAGTTTGATCCAATAATAGGCAGGGCTATGTTAATAACTAGAAAATTCCCTTACTGCCCCTCAAACTATAATAAAAACTGCTTTGAGCAGGAGGTTTTGGAAGGACTTAAAAAGCAGAAAGAAACTTCAAATGTATGACTTGGAAATTAAACTCATTTGGAAGTATATTTGAGATTAACAAAAAAAAACAAAGTGCAAAAAGAAATATTTTTATTAGTTTGTTAAGGTTATAATTTGTACAGATTTCCTTCCTAAAGGAAATATATTCCTAAAAGAACTATAAACACATTGTTTTATTTTTATTGGTGCTATCTAATTTTTATGCTGTTAGAAGATTAGTTCATAGGCTTGCACTTAAGTATGAATGCATATTGAAGAATGCCAGTGCTCTTGTAAGATTCAGAATTAATGTTTAAAAGTGGAATAGAATCCTGCAGAGGTAGAGAATATATACTTTGGTGCTAAAACCTGTCACTTCTATAAGTGAATAGTAAAGATATTTAGAGAGTAGCCTTTTCCAGACTGTTAGTGTAGTCTGTCATAAAATAGTGTTATGTTAGATGTTTGATAAATCCTGTTCATTAAAACATTATATTCTGGTACTTCAGTGAAATGGACCTATTCCAAAAGTGATACAGTAGATAGATGTGCTAATTTAAAACCTAATTGTGTAGCAGTTCAACACCTTTTCTGATACCAGAAAGATCATAAAACTTAGTTTAAAGAGTAAGTGCTTACTTGTTAGGCCTGATTTCTTAAAACAGAAAAAATTAAGGAAAGGTAAGGTTCCACTCTTCCAAATTTTGTTAATGTGTGTAATCCTCACTCATTTAAGAAAGCTCACTGGCATCAACTAGATAAGCACGAGCAAAACTACATAGCAGACTGCAGGTATGTGAATGTGTGTTACACTAAAAAGTGCAATAGTCAAGTTCTTCAGCTACTTCAATATGGAGATCAGTGTCCAGAAAAAATTGCTTATTAAATGTTTAGTAAAAGTTTTTGCTAATTACTATGCTCAGCTGAATGATAGCATTAAGTTCTTCTAGGCATAACTACGAAGAGGAAAGGGAAAAGGCTGAAACCTCCAATTATACATTCTAAACTGCAAAATGTACTAAGAACAATCTATTAATGTCTCTCCCTGTCCTGAAGATCCAGAAGAATACATTGTGCTATTCTGTATGTCAGTGGACAAAAAAGAACAAAAAGGATTGTTCTAATATTGGACAATTTACAAAGAAATTTGAACAAGAGATAAGGAACAAATCTATGGTACACTAGTGCTGGTACTGAGACCACTGGTACACTAGCCATTTCTAACAATAATTCAGTTTTTGGCATCTCAAATGGGATGTGTTTTAAGAGGCTTTTTAAAAAGAAAATAATGAAGCTTTGCAGGCATCCTTTGAATATGAAGGCACTGTGCAAGGGCTGTTGGAAAATAAGATAGTTGGTAGACAGGTATCATGAACAGAATGGAAATGAGATTCAATGCCTGAGTAGTCATTAAAAGGTAATTAATATGTCAATAAATGCCTGGAAGGACTTAAAAATCAAATCAAGTCTTTTTAATTTCATGTGATGGAGAGGAGGGTCCATCATAGTGGAGAAAGAAGGCCAGTAACATGGTCAAAGTGGTGGAATAAAAGGAATTGTACTTGAAGCAGTTTTGCACTTGCTGAGAAAATTACTTTTGTCATAAGCTTAAAATATGTGTTATAGTAATTGAGACAAAAGTAATGATGAGAAATTATTTTTTTATGTATTAATAGTCTTAGATATGCTAATTAGAAAGTACATGCAAGCTTAGAAATATTGAGAACAGGAGTATCAAAATAGATATTTAAATTTAAGATAATTCCAAGAACAAATTCTTGTTTTGGAGTGACAAAACTGTGCTGGGACAGGAAAATCTTAGAGATT